AAAAAAAATTCTCGAATGTTCAATGTATATTTGATACCGTAATGCTAAATGTATTCAGTATATATAAAATGTATAAAATTAAAAACTAACAATATTGTTATACCGTTTAAAAAAATTGAACGTCGATTGATTCATTCATTCTTTTTTTGTTTAAAATCAGAATTTCAAATGAAATTTTTTTTTTTTTGCATGGATGAGAAATTTTAAGATTTAATTAGTTTATCAATAAATTCGTATTATTACTGCAGGAAATGTGGAAATTATGATAACAAAGATTGTGTTAATTCTCATTATTGAAGGAATTTTTTGCAACGATACCAGAAAGAGACTTATTACATTGCTGAGAACTGATCAGAAATTCCATGATCAATGGATGCATCTTGTTGAACTACAAGTATGAATTATTAGACTATAGCAGTAATGAAATCTTAAAGAAAAGATTAATTATCAAACTGATATATAGGTAACGAGAGCAATAATGATCATGATAATAGCTATGATGCTAAAGAAAATGTTGCAATCAATCAAGTTATAACATTTATCACAAAATTTTTGATTAAAATTACAAATTTTAATTAAAAATTCACAAATTAATCTTAATTTTTAATATCTTGCTAATACTATTTATTGTTTCAGTTTATTTTCACAACCATACAATTTAATTTTAGCATCGGCAGGTGTATGAGCAAAATATCGGTAGTGCATTGGAAGAAGTTACAGATTTGGTACTGAATTGTGCACCAAAGTTAGATCCTAAATTGGATCACGTAGATTATGTATGTCCAGCCGATATACAATTTTACGCCGAATTAGGACAGTTAACACGATATTGTAATGATAGTATCATTGAATTGATTAAAGGTAATATTAATGGTCAATTTCAATTTAATTAAATTTAAGAGGAATAATTAATAGCCAAATTATAACTAACAGTACAATACCAATTCATTATTGACTTTTAATTTTCTTCATTAAAATTTAAATTTTTCAATTAAGCTTTTCAAAAACTATAATTTTTCATTGTAAATTGAAGAATGGCGAATTCATTGATGTACAGAGAAAAAATAAAAATTTCATCAGATAGTTGTTGTTTGAAATGAATTAAATCAATTTTAGGTAAAATGGATTCATGTCATCATGCCAGTTATACCAGTTCATTGCCATCAATTGTTAAATTTTTGATGAAATTCATTCGAAATTTAACAATTATTGAAACATCAAATGCAACAAAACTTAAAAATCAAACGCTATATTTGGTGGAACAATTTATGGAACATAGAAATTGGCGAAATAAATGGAAATTGATTGTTATTATGCCAAATATAGAGGTTTAATTTTTTTAGAAAATTTTAAATCATTTAACTTCACATTCGATTTAAGCAGTGAAATTGAATCAATGAAATTTCATTGGATATTCTCCTAAAATCATTTTATTTAATTTCATTTATAAAATTAAAATTAACGATCATTCCGATGTTGTAAAATTGCAAATGATTCTTAAATTTTATAGGATGGTGAATTACGAGAGCCAGAGCAATCAGCAATTGAAGTAATGAAATCAATTAAGTTATTATACGAAGTAATACCACAACGGACTATTTTGATTGTGGTACGAAATTCCAATTTACAACTCTGGCAAGATGCATCAAAAGCGCATCGTGCATGTCAAACACTATTGGAGCCATGGAAAACTTATGAAAATTTAAATTCCATTTCTATTTGGGATCAAGTTTGTTGATTAAATTATTTGAGGGAGCCGAAAACAATAAAGAATTCAATGATCATCATCAAATTAAAGGATGGATTTTAGCATCCATAAAAATAATTGCCTAATTGAAATAATAGATGCTATATTATTTTTTATTTTTTTATTTGATCTGTAAACAATTTAAAAATGATAAATTTACCGTATAACTTTTATCACTTACAGTGAAATTCTTATTCTATCAGTAGAAGTGTGTATAAGGAAAACTTTTATTATATATATATATATCATTGTAAAATTTATTTAAGGTTGAGAAAATTTGTGGACTACATTTTCAAAGTTCATTATTTACCGTACAAATATTACCGCTCATGAAGCATGCCTCATTACCATTTCTAGCTGGTTCTAATCAGTAAGTTTTACCAATATATTTTTCATTAATTATTTGTCTAACTAATTAACTAACTAACTGACTAATCATTTTAACTCAGCTAATTGTTTGCTTTTTCTTTCTTTTCTTTTTCAATCGTTTTACAGATGATTGATTGTCTGTTATTTTTTTAACCATAATTTATTTTATAGTATTATTTTTGTTATAATTCAAATTTTCATATTAAAGATTTACAATAGTATTTATAAAGATCTGTTGAGGAAGACAAATTAATTAATACCAATTTTTGCTGATCATATTTTGGTTCAATTAAATCTGTTAATAAAATGAATTTATAATTTTATGCTACAGAATTGACTTATCATTGCTTGGTCATGATTGTGTGCATCTTTCACCGCGTGGTTTATCACTCCTTCATATAGCAATATGGAATGCGATATTAACAAGATTACCGGATCGTTCGCAAACATTTAATTTCACTTTGGAACAACCAATTTGCGCCGATCCACAATGTCCATTCATACGTACCAGTAGGAATAGTGCCTTCTGTGTTTGGAATCATCAAAAAGTTAGCATTGTTTTTTTTTCTCTGTTTTACAATTTTCTATAATAATACATGTTCTATATTAAAATCTATTCGATAATTATCAAAAAAAAAAGTTTTTAAATTAGTAAGTTTAAAAAGTATCATTTTTTCTATAATCAAAAATCATTTTTTATGTGATTTTTTTTTTTTTTTTAAAATACATTTCGATCTAAAATTTAACGGATGGCTTTCTTGTTATCTGTTTCATTTTTCCTATCTTATATTTGAAATAGTGATAAGATGAATAAACGATTTGTCAGTATCGCAGATCAAAGAAATTATTAAATGATGCAGAATAGGATGTTTTCAATTACCGGTAAATTGTGCAAACATTTCACAAAAACCTTTGTTTCGATTTTTATTTAAAAGATTAAAATTTGAAAAATTCATTAAATTCATTGATAAATAAGGTAAGTAATTGTAGTTTAAACCTTCTAAAAGCATTGGGAATATTTTGCTTTTCATAAAGTTTTCCAATTAATAACATGTGGCAAATTTTTCAAAGTTCAAATTCCCATCATAAATTTAATAACAATGAAAAGCGATAGAATAATAATGAAAAGGAACTCATCTTACATTAATAATGAATGAAAAGGAATTTATTTTACAGTAATAATGAAAAGGAATTGATTTTACAATAATAATGAAAAGGAATTGATTTCAGAAAGATAAAGATGATCGTCATTCGGAGCAAATGATTTCGATTACTGTATTAATCATATCAATGATATTATTTGTGATAGTTCTTGGTACCAATTGCTGTTGCAGAAGACATCATAATAAAGTTAATGAATTAGCAGAAAATTTGCCCAAAAAACCACCGGTAGGCGCTAATTGGACTTCATGGAAATATATAGATGAGGAAAGTATCACATCCTATAAATCCTAAAAGTGATAATGTTATATGTAACAAAAAAAAGATTAATTTTCTTGAAATTTTTTTTTCTTTTGAAATTGCAAAATATCTATGCATCATATTTAGCACTGTCAAAAATTCGTAGCATTTAACAGAATTATTGTTAATTAAATGCAATTTGTTTCCTTTCATTCTTCAACGCATATAACTTTATCTAATTCAATTTATCAGAAAGTTAATGCATCATGTAGATTAATTTTTGTCAAAAGCTAATAGTGCAAATGTCAAAAGCATTTACATTTTTCATAAGTAAAATGAATTTTTTCGGTGCTTTTGAACTATCCAAATATTGTTTTGCTTACATTTTCTTTTTCTTTCAATTTATATTAATCAAATCAATATTTCTCATAGGATAAATTGAGAATTGCTCAATTGAAAAAAATAATAATGAAAAAGATTTTATTCTCAATCGTTCCATTCAATTTACAATTTTTCTTTTTCTTTTTTTTACGTTTTTTTTTTCGTAAATAAAATTTTTACTTCAAATTATTCATTTCAAATAATTATACAATATAAATGAATTTACTTATACAATTTTTCAATGCGTTCTTTTTTTCAAAATTTAATCCCAAAAATTTATCATTCGTTCTCTTTATCTTTCATGATATTCTTTTGTAATTTATTTCCAGAAAAAAAAAGAACATCAACACTGCCTTGTATAATTTTGAAATTGTTGAATAAATTCAGCAAATGCCTTAATGCCTTACACTCACAATTAAATATTTTGAGCAAGTGATTAAATCAAAGCTTCTTCGCGATTATTTCAAATAGTCCTACTTGAAATATGAACTATTGTGACCTTCAAGAGTGTTAGCATTATTCAGTCAGGCATAAAATGTGGCATCGTACCGTGATGATTTCATTCATTGATTTTTATGCTCTTGAGATCGATCTCTATTCTGCCAGATTTGATATGAGAAGGAATGGATTGATGAAAGATAGTTAATTAAACTCTCGCATTACGCATATTAATTAAAATTTTCATAAATTGGAAACAGGGGGCATAGCTCAGTGGCAGAGCATTCGACTGCAGATCGAGAGGTCCCCGGTTCAAATCCGGGTGCTCCCTTCTTTTGGAGAATTGAGTAATGCACAATCAATTATTGTCAGTAAAAAAATCAAAAATCATTTCCGAAGTGGAGAAAGCAAGCAGTCTGGTTAGTTATCAAGTGATAATCAACAATTTTAATTGATTGAAATATTTAATTTTGAAAAAATTCGATTAACAATGGTAAACATTATTTGTAGTGAAATGGAAAAAGAAATATGGCGGAAATGGAAAATGCACGGATATGGGAGCTACGGATCTTTATCCTTTCTGGTATAAAAGAGATTTCATCAATCTTCTTTTTAACCTTATTTTCTTGAGAAATAATTTTAAAAGAAAAAAGAAATTAAAGAAACAAACACAAAAGAAAATCAGATATGAAAGAGAGAAAGAACAAATAGTGATTGTAGCAAATAATTCATTATTTCCAATAAATTGGTTATGAATTATTAAATTGAAAATATTTTCAAATAATTTTACGACACTGGATTGTTCATTCGTCGAGATGATAATTCATTGCTGATTACCATTGATATGGAATTTCAACGTATTTTGTAATCGTTTGTAATTCAAAATCATATAATACCGGTTTTAGAATTTCATAGCACAAATGCGGTTAATCATTTTGCTCGATAATCATTTTTATCAATTTTTATTCAAAATGCTAGATTTCGATTATGAAGATTTGCATAGTCCATCATATATTCTTAAATAGTAATCCAGAAGTATTGATTTTAAAATCATTAATTTACTGTTTATTCTAATATTGACTAATAATATTACAAATAAAATTGTTTGTTTGTTTGTTTTTTTTTTGAAAAATTCAACTTAAGAATTTCGATAAATGACTTTTCAATTAGAAAATTTAAATTGTTACATTAACAAAACTTGATACACTACTGCAAGCATTGTTATAAGCGTAGTGAAGTTCTCTTGCATGTTATCACTGCACATGATTGCTATCACTGCATATTTCGGATGAAATAACAGGAAAACGAAAACATGTTTGCATGTGTTTTCCTTTTTTTCATAGACAATGAAAAATAAAAAATAAACTGCAAAACAGGTATGTATGCATTTTTTACAATAGATTTAAAGAGAAATAACCGTTTTACCTGATGAAGCAATTTTTGCAAACGATAGATGTATGCATTGATAGTGTACCGTTATCATTATATGTGCATTTGATGTATTATTTTATTCATTGCATCAAATAGAACACAAAGAAAAAAGAGTTTTGTTCTTGGCGCAGAATTTTTTTTTTTCAATTCTTGCTGAATTTTACTACTGAATATTTCATTCTGCCCTTTTGTATATACGCTTTGCAACTACACCTTCGGAATCACAAACCTGGAAGAATTTTTCAACACAATAATTATTTTATTAAATTTTTATTTCGTCATATTTATTGATGTATAGCTTACTCTTAGAATTGTAAGTATATTTTAGCTATCTACAAAAATATATTGAATTATGTACTTCGTTCGAAAAATAAAAATTACTACTTTCTTGAATTCAAATTTTCACCGTTGAGATCAGCAAAATTTAACAACAATAATAGTAATGATAGCAAATAATTATATATTAAAAATATTTCTGTAAAATCGATTCGATTTTTCGATCATTTTCTTTGAAAGTTTAAAATTCCAAAAACATCTTCTCTATTTTAATATGCCTCATAAAGCATAATCTATGAAATGCTATGCTTTCATGTCACACATTAATTAACTATAAAACCAGCTAAGTACAAAAGACTGATATATTTCAATTGTAACTGGCATAAATTAAACTTACAATAATCAGTTGACCTTGTTCATCGATGTAACGTTCAAATCTGCTACTCTTATCGCCTGTTTTGATAGCAGTTTCCAGTTGAACTAGCACATCTCCTTCCAAAAAGAATTTACTCTGCAACATCGCCTCAAGCAAAAAAAAAAAAGACAAGATTGTCTTAAATTGAACGAAAATGTTTGATGCTTTTTTGATCTGTTAATCTGTAGCAAATTTGTTTGTTAAGTATTTTCTATTCGTATTCTAATTACACTGATCTATCTATCTCTAAAATATTCGTGATTAATTTCTTCCAGCTTTCTCATTACTTAAAAATAATAAAATTTATAACAGTTAGAAAATGCTTTCTGTAACCATAGTTATAAACATAGCTAATTGCAGTCATGAGAATCGATAATTTGTGAGAAGTCCATAAAAGAACGGATGAGTTGACTTATTTAAGATTTTAATATCATTTTTAATAGATCATTAATTTTTTTTTTTTTTTTTTTTTGGACAGTAGGATATAATAACAGATGAGAACATTCACCATTTCTATAGGTTTTTTTTTTTAATGAAATAAACATTTGCTATAATAAAACAAATGGATAAACACTGAATCATTAAATAAAAAATTAAATAACAAATTACCTTTACTTGTCGTCCATCAGGTGTTGTTTCAGTGAATTCTTCACCCAATTCAAATTCCCAAACATGTTTTTTAAAACTTGACTGGCTAACAATCTTCCATTTATTACCATCCACGGTAAAAGTTAATGCTGGTTTAAGACTTTTAGCTAGATTTCGCATTATCACTCCAACACCTACAAAAAGAAATATTAATTTAGCAAACACTGAAATATTTTTCTCGTGAAATTAAGAAAAAGAAAACAATTTTAATGATTCAATGATATTCAACACTAAATATAGGAATATTCTAGGAATATTTAAATTTCTTTCAGTAAACAGCATAGATTATTTTGAGAAGAATTTCCATAGCTTTATTTGAAAAAAAAAAAACAATTCTAATGTGTAACAGAAAACTTTGAAATTTTTTTTACATTTTATGAAAAGAAAATGAACAATTCTGAAAGTTAAGCAAATTAAAATCAAATTAAATGAAGGCTAAATTGAGAAGCAACAAGCTGCTTCTGTAATAACATCAAATTTAGTGAATTTTTATGAATGTACATTACCGATATGTTTTAGGTATGCATCGAAATTATTCGATTCAACAAGCGTCCACGTACCAACAAATTTCTCAGCAACCGACATTTGTAGCAAAATAATTTAACACTTCCCTCAATAATCAAAATTACTCTGTAAATGTCAAACGAGTATGTAATAAATAACCAACAGAAGGCCAAAAAAA